TAAAAACCATTGAAATATTATTAATATTAATATTTTGTTATTTTATACCCCAAGATTTTCTAATGAAAACAATCTTGAGTGGAAATCTGTACAACAATTATCAAAGTTCTTGGTAATAATAGATTTATCTAATTTTAAATATTCAACCAATTTTTGACTCATTTCATTTGGATCCATTTCACGAGAAATTATATTATCTCTTAATTTACATAAAAATGTATTGATTTCTTCTGTAAAATTACAAATTAATATTTATAAATTAATTATATATATGAATTTTATATTCAAATACTGGTTGGCTTGAATTATAACTTTATAATACTGTTGAAATGTTATCATGATGGAATCCATTTTTTACTAAATTTACTAGAATCATTCACATATTTTACAAAACTAAATAGGTCGTATTCTTGTAAATATTTTTAGCATTTGTATTTGGATTTTATTAGGGCATTGAAATGATTTTTATGATTTTTAATGATTTTCTACTTAATTAAATAAAAATTATGTTTTTTTTTCAAATTTGTAGATCAACGTATAATTTTAAATATATAAAGATTTCAAAGATTCTTAAATGTCTTACCATAATTCGTTTGTTCAAGACCTTTTACGTTTAACTTGGCAATGCAATTATGAAATGCAACTTGTGCTTTTGGTAAATTTTTCGATGATAAATAATTGATAACTTGATCAAGATTAATTTCTGCTGATGTGGATACTATTAGTCCCTAAAAAAAAATAGTACAATTAGTATTGTGCATAATCGAAACCATATTGACAAAAATTTNAATTAGTATTGTGCATAACCGAAACCATATTGACAAAAATTTAACAGTGATTATTATTACTATCGTAAAACGCTTTAAAATGAATGTGCTTTAAGATATGTTATTAAATTTTTTTTTTTTTTTGAGTGTTTTTTTTATTTTGTGGAGTTGAGCCTTATAATTATATAATCCTTATATTGTTTTAAATCATACAAAAATTTATTTTCATAAAAAAAAAAACAGGTATATAAAAAGATAGTAAATAAATAAATCCATAAATTACCATTTAATAATGGTAATTTATGGATTTATTTTTACTTACAATAGACAGAATTGTTTGAAATCTCAAATAAATCATGTTTTGCAAATTGATTGATCTAGAAAATAGATTTTTTAATTTTTCTATTTTTAAATATTTTTTATATTAATGTATCTTAAGAATTAGGGAATGCAAAAATAATAAAACGCAACGACACAATTTTATTTATTTTAAATAAATTATCTGTTATTTAGTGTTTCAAGTTATTCTACAGTATTATACTGTAGGATAATTATGACCAATAATATACGTATAAAACATTTATGATTGTAATAAAATTGTATACAACTAACACTTTAGTGTGTAAAATTAACAATATAATATAATACATTATATAACAAGTGCTGCAAGTTACAACCTTTTTGGATTGTAAATCGATAAATGCTAGTTGTTTAAAACATAATAGAATATACAGTTTATGGAATTTCTGTTATGTCGTGTATGGCCAATTGTTTGGCATATACGTATATTGCAATATAATGTAATTGATAATTATCAATAAAAAATTGATAATCTTTATTTTATATTACTTATAAACAAAAAAATAACTTATCTGTCGTAACATGTATACTGTTCAACACAATTTCTTATTATTTATATATATAAGTCAATGTATCCATTGTTAAATATGCTATCTCAATATAATAACTATGTAGTGTATAATTAGATACAATAAACTAAAAAGATCACTAAAAGCGCTGACAACAGTATCCCTGGGGTACTATCATTCACTATAAAAAACACAGAAATCTTTTCAGACTAGAGTTCGCTTTCACCGAATTCAATTAAAAAAACAATTGTTAGCCACGACCCCGTGTTGTTGTCGGTTATCTTTTTATGCTTCTTGCTTATATATCCACACGAAAAGAATTTGTTTTAATTTTTTATCATGTGACGAAGTACGAATCCAATACCACTGAGTATATATATACATAACGAAATATTTATTGAATCACTTCACAGCAATTTGCAAGAAGAAAAGAAATAAGTAAATTTATGTTATCCCAATTATTTAGAGTTAATAAATCTGAGTAGAGAACGACGAAGCAATAGATAATTTATTAGATCAATATCTTTAAATGTTAATTTTGACTGGTTGGTTAAAATATTATACAATAGAACGTTATATGGTATTCGTAAACTGGCTCCACCGTTTCGTTGCCTTAAAGATGTTTTAAAAAACCTAGCTTCATTTCTACTGTATAAGTTAGGCTCTGGTATTTGTGGACTGGCTCTGGCATTTTTTGGCCTCTTAGGTAGGACATTAGAAACTAACCAGACAAAAGTTTATTACACCTCAATTAGAGGTACTGCGTATATTATTTTTATATCTACTTGTCTTTGTCGTTCTAAACCTTCCAACCATACGACCCCCATAGAACCACAATATCAAGTTCTCACCATATACAGCACAAGCCGATTCTTATTTTATTAATTTTTGTTATTTGAATTATAACAATTAACCGATAGCGTTTAACAACATCATAACGTTACTATATTAAATAATATCTACAATTTTTCTGATTACGTCGAAATTTTAAACAACTATAACTCGTTGNCGTCTAAATTTTAAACAGCTATAACTCGTTGAAATTAAAATAGTAATAAACATTTTTTTATCAAATTGAATATATCTGATCATCAAACTTTGATGATTAAAAAAGAAATGTGGTTGCCATTTGAAAATGTAATTTTGATACAAGTTTAGGATAAAAGGTATGGTAATGGAAAATTAATTTTTTGAATAAAGCAACTGAAAAAGAACCATTATTGTTATAAAAATGAAATAATGATTAGCTTTCATATGAATTACAAGCAATTTAATACATATAGTGAACGTGTGGGTGTAGCCTGTATTGATGAATTATACGTAAGGGGCTGGGAGAATAACACGCATTGTTTTATCTCATAATTAACCCCCTGGAATAGTTTTGTTATTAAACGGAAATTATTTGCTATTTAAAACGTCAAAAATTTTAAATGTCTAGGTATTACTATAGTTTTCTGAGATATAATATAAAAGTTTGGAAAATCAGTTCGATTAAAATCTCGGTCATCCATTCTTAAAAACAAAATAAATATTGTTTATTTTTTTTTTTGCATATAATATATCATTTTATAGATAAACAAATTAACTAAAATTTTTTTTTTGGATTTGGGTTTCCCTCCTGAAACGAAAAATATTTAAACAGCTGTTCTACCAGGTTTTGAAATCTTTCATAACTTATGATACAGTAAATATTTTGCGTTTTTTTTTATTTTTTAATAGTTTTCACAATTTTAGCTTCGATGTGAAGCTGAGAAGGTATTGGTTTTACTAAGATGTGTTTTTTTTTTTTTTTTTTTTT